ATGTGTTCTCAAAATTATCCAATAAGATTAAATGATAATTTTGACTAATAATTAATGTGAAATTCCATTATACAACAGTATTATATATCTCAACTCTAATCTTTATAGAGAAATTAATCAAAAAGCTAAAGCACTATGTATCAAGTTTAAGTATAATTTTTATATCAGGTTCACAAATAATAATATATAATCTAATATATTGTTAATATATTTTTTACCTATGTAATCAATTTTTTGAGATCAATTACTCTTGAATGTGATCAAATTTATAGGATGTAACACATATTAATATAGTAATTAACTATTCATTCATGTGATCAAATCTATGAAAATGATCACTCTCAAATGTAATCAGAATTATAATATAGCTCTCTGACTGGAGATAGTTATAATTTATTCTAAATGAAATAATTATAATTTATATAGATTATAATTATCTTACTTATATTATAATCTTTGTTTGGCATATATTTTTAATTTAATTAGAAAAACATGGATTAATTATGAAAAATTTAATTTACTTAATTATATTATTTTTAATTTTAAAACTATATTTTCTTATTCTATAACAAGAAAAAAATAATTTTTATATTTATCAAATATTTCTAATTTTTTTTTTAAATTACATTTTTTTCTTTATTTATTAAAACAAGATGAAATTCATAATTTAAATTTGTAATTTGGATGAATTTCTATATTTATTATTTTAAAACTTTTTAAAAAAAGAAATTTAATTAATAAAAATAATAATTTTCTTAAATATATTTCAATAAAAAACATAAGTTTTATATTTAAAAGTTTTAATAATATTTATAAATTTTAATACTTAAAAGTAATTATTTTTTATTATTTATATTTTTATAATATATATATATATATATATATATTAATATATAATTTATTAATTAATTTAAAATTTTTAAAAATTTAAAAAAATCTTTAGTTCCTTTAATAATTACTTGTTTAAATTAAATATATACTTTTTTACAAAATAATATTAATAATTCATTCTTTAATTATCAAATAAATTCTAAATCAGATAATTCAAATTTAAATATAGATAATTTAAAATTAGTTTTTTTGAAGTATTTCAACTTTTTTTTGATAAATTTAATAAACATATTAATTTTCATTTCATATTTAAATTATTTGAAGCAATTAAATATTTTAATTCTTTTTAAATTTATATTTCTACTAGAAGATATAATATTATTTCTTATGAAATTATTTCTCATTTCAAAAATCCATCAGATAATATTATAATAGAATGAAATATTTATTGTGGATTAAATGAAGAGCAAAATAATAATTTAGATTTAGATGAATATTGAAAAGAAAAACAAAGAACTTTGTTTAATTTAGTACAAATAGCTTTAATTTATATTTGGCTTTCTATTTTTGGAGTTAATGTTGAAAGAAGCTTTAGTAATTACAAAAATATTTTAGATGATAAAAGACATGGATTATTAAAAGAATTTATTGAAAAGTTAAATTTTTTATACTTTAATTTGTAATTTTAAATTGTTTTTATTAATAAATTTTTTAATTATTTACAAAAAAATGTTATTCTTATTTATCAAAAAAAATCAGGTAATCAAATTTTTTAAAAAATTGATCACTTGATTTTTTAAATTTTTAAATTTGATCATCATAATGATCTTGTACGTCTTTCAGTTTGCAGAATTTGCAGAATCAATTGCAGTAAATTACTGCGCAGAAATGGACACTCTATTATGAACCGAACCAGACTTTGGTTTGAATTCAAGAAAAATTCAAAGTTTGAACTGAACTCGAACTGAACAACAGTTCAGTTCGAGTCTGGTTTGAGTTCAGTTTGAGATCAGCATATAGTATCATATACCAATTTGTAGCCCTGAATTTGAACTACAACTTTAATTGGAATAACTTAAAAATAAGGTGATACAAATGATTAATTTAAATTTTTTATTAAAGAAAAAAGGAATGATTACCGTTATAGCATATTTGTGAAATACAGTCATAACAATCCCTTTTCATAGTGATATCTTATAAAGAGCATCTTGTTATAACGAAGTTTATAATTAGGGTTCAATATAACGATATTGTCAATAACAGTGAAACTCGATATAGCGGATATTCCACTGTAGCGAGACTTGATTGAGAAATCTCTTATATTAAATAGGTGTTATTATGCGCAGCTTTACTAATAAATTGTTATGACCACTATATCGAATATTCCGCTACATCGATTTTTAATGTTTGTCTATATTTGGAAGTTGATATGCATTATTAGCCAATGAAAACAAAAGATGGGTTTTCATTGTGCTGCTGTTACGATAATTATTAATAATTTCTCCTGTGACAATTGTCAACTTGTATTGATTTTGTGATATTGCACATGCCCAATTTTGGTAATTTTCGACTGGAGTTTCTATAGATGGACTCATATATGAATAGTCTTTTTTTTACTGTATTGTGGCTTTTGAAACGGTCTAATTTAACATCTCTGTTCTTTGTACATGTATGATGCAAAAATCACGATCAGTCTATCATTCCAAAAGAAGCAATGACAATTGTATTTTTGCTATCCACACCATTATCTTAACATATAAGTAGACGAAATTTTAAGTATTACGTAGTTATATTTAGCATTGTTTGTGGTTGTATACTAAGATTATTCAATAAGGGTGAAGAACAATTTTTAGTCTAGAAGCTAATAAAGAATCAAAATCTTTATTTTGTTTGATAGTTATAATTAGATTCCTTGTAACGATGATAAGGTGAGACAGAGTTCTTTGCCCGATACTATAATTTTACCTCAATGGTTTGAGGGAAACGAGTTTTCTCAGTACAACTAAAATCCTGATTATTCGATAAGCAATAAAATCTGTGATTTAATTGTCAGATAATTTCCATCAGAAATCAAGGTTTTATTTTCTTACGAAAATTCTGTAATTTTCGTGGGCTTAGTTAAATTTCATTTTACAGAGAAAATCGATCAATTCATTAGCTTTTCTGAAAAAGGGTGAATGGAAGTTTAACAAGTAGAGAGGCAATGAATTCATATATAACGATTGAAGGTAGAAATAGTTGATAGCTCCCTATAATTTTAAAGTTTATTATTATTAAAGCTTTCATTCTTTCGTAAGCAAAACATCGATACGCATAAAATGGACCATAGTCAAGAATATCTTAGAGTAAACGCATATGCTAAAGTTAACTCCATAAAAAGAAAATTGCACTAGCAAAAAATCTCATTGTCATGACATTTCGAGTTTAGAATCGATTAATATAAAAAAATCGGATTGTAGCCCTTGGCTAATGCTTAGTTTAAATGCTGCATCGTGTAAGAATCTTCGGAGGATCCATTTTTGCACCATTTAAAACCCAGGGACGCTCAACGAACGGTCATTAATTGAGGCGCTGGACATGCAAATTCTTCAAAATACATGTACTTTCTAACTATAATATTGGCCAATCATATTGTCCCAAATCTAAAAATAATCATCATCACACAGCCAGTTTTGTATATTTAGTATTATTTGGGCGAAAAGGATAAACAACATCAAGTTTCATTTCTGCATAACGTGAAATCATTCTTGTCGTTTTTTTTTATAAAATATTGATGAAAAATTACTTTATTTGTTTCATTAAGAACGGTATTGGTGGCAATGCTTCTATTTTGATCTTTTGGTGTTGAAAAAATGCTGTGCACGTATTCACCATGTACTCGTGTATATGTATGTATGTGCCCCTAATGTGTGCCAAGTGGATACTTTACAAATGAAAATTAGTTTATTTGTTGTATTTATATTAGCTTATTTATCGTTTTATGTTATTTTTACATTATAAAATTATGTTTCAGATATAAATATTCATTTTTATTAGGCTTTGTCTCTCCTTGCTTTTCTTCGTTTTTCATTATTCTGTCAATTGTCTATTTTAATTATCGTTTTAGTTTAATGAATTTTTTTAATGAATTGATCATTATTACCAGCGATTGAATTTAACTTTTAAGGAGACACTAGAGACATAAAAACGAAAAACGGAAAGCAAGGAGATCACGAAAAACTAATAAAAAAACCAATCAAATAATTAATCGTAAAATACAAATCGCAAAATACAAATCGCAAAAATACAAATCGCAAAAGTAATTAATCGCAAAAATACAATCACAAGGGACAAATCACAAATACCAATCAAAACAACAAAAAAAATGAGACCGCAACGATACCAAAGTTTCTTTGGCCTATTTCTGTTATCAATATTACTGGTACTGGTGGCCTTGACGGTACCCAGTGCTAGTGTCAAATTTGAAAGACGAAATTTCAAAGTTGTGAAGAGAGCTGCAAATGACACTACTAATTCTGGTGGAAGTAGTCCTACTCCTAGTGGAAGTAGTGGTGGAAGTAGTGGTGGAAGTAGTGGTGGAAGTAATGGTGGAAGTAGTGGTAGTGGTGGAAGTTCTGCAAGTGCATCGGCGGCATCACCACCACCTGCACAATCAGCGTCAGCGTGAGTTTTGTTCAATTTTTTGTTTTTTTTTTTTAGTTTACGACGCGCGTGTATGTGTGTGAATGTGTGATGCGAGTGAGCATATGATTGATTGATTGATTAATATATTCATTTATCGATCGATTAATGAGTTGGTTGATTGGTGTCTTAATTTCTATAATTCAATTTTCCGATTTTTTTATTTTAAATCGTCATCCACTAACATCATTAACCCTAAAATCACCACTCTAAATTCACATCATTCACCCATCCAAGTGAGTTTCATTTCTTATTCTGCTACTGATTATCTCGATGTTGATTTAATCATCCCGCAAACACTCACTACACGTTATTTCATTAATCACGTGTATATCCATTATCTGACTCTATCTTTCATTCCCTCCTCCCCTTAAATAAACGCCCATCATGAAAATTTCAAATCAACCAATCAAATCGCTCAATCGATCTTTAATTGAAACCGATCAATCAATGAATAATGTGAGTAAAACAAAAAAATTTATCCGAGGTTAAAATATAAATATATTTTTGTTTTTTCTCTCGTATTATTGCTTTGATAATTCCCCCCCCCCCCAACCACCGAAAAAAAAACACACCACTAACCTATAGTCCTGCCTCTAAAAATGATCTTAATGCATCTGCTGCTTCACCTTCGCCTAATTCGGTTAATCCTTCATCTAATCCGGCTTCCCCAACATCTAATCCTTCGACTAATTCGGATACTAAACAATCTTCAAATAACAGTGCATCACCACCACCCAATGTGTCACCTACGAAACTTGCTTCAAATCCTACACCTTCGACTAACCCAAATAGTTCAAATCAACCTAAACCACAACCACAACCACAACCACCACCACCACCATCACCAAGTCCTAAACCAACTGACCAAGCACCGCAACCGCAACCACAACCAACAGCAGCACCTCCAGCTCAGACAGCAAAACAACCAGACCAAACTCCTACTAAAGATAATCCACCGCCAACACAAAAGCCAAATGATCAAACAGTCTCCACTTCTTACGCGGTAGTTTCCTCAACTTACACCACTGTAATACCTGCTAGCACGATACAAACGACTTCAACTCTACCTGATGGACAAAAAACAGTTTATCAAACTGTACTTCCTGTAAGTTAATTCTATTATAATACATCGATAGTATTATTAATTTTATTAATTTATTATTGATATTGTATATAGCCTCAAACTAAAACGGTGGTCACTGAAGTACCGGGTACAAAACCAACAGGTAGTAATACTGGAACTCTTCTAGCAGGTGTAGTAGGCAAACCTCTGCAATATGGAAATCTAATCTTTAGCTCTTTCTTGAGTCTCATTGTCATATCGTTTAGTTTTTCATTATGTTAGCACTATGAGAGAAAATTTTGTGTTTCTTTATTCCATCTGTTTTAGTTAGTGTGGAAAAAATAATACTTTTTTGGGGATTCTAAAACCTGATTAATAACCTGATTGATAGACGATTTTTAATTTATGCGTTACGCAGAATTATCAAAATAAATATTAATTTCATTTATATATTGCGAAAAATAAATAATTACATTGCTTCAGCTATTCATCCACCCATCCGAAATACAAGATTAAATTTACAAAAAACACAATGTTGAGAATACATGCATCCCAACCCCCAAAACTTCACTATTCTAATTTAAATCAATTATGATTAGTGTTAGGAGGTAATGGAAAGACCAAAGTTCTTGACGCGTAGATGTTATTCTGTTGCATGATTAACGATGTAGTACTTCTGTTTGCCGGTCGCATAACAGCAATCGGTGTTGAGGATCCAGAAGATGCTCTTAATGTAGGTGAATTATTACCAGATGGAATTTTACGTTGCTGTTGTGAACTTGAAGACGGCGAAGGAGATGGAGATCTTCGAATATCATCGACGTTATTATTGATTGTTGAGGATGGAATATTGTTACTTTGTAAAGGTGATGCCGAGGGTGATTCTCTGGTATTATTATCACCTTTGGTATCATCATTGTCAACATTGGTATCGTTATTATCACCATCATTGTTTGTACTATTAATATCATCATTAGCGTCAGATTCATCATCCTCATTGAATAAAGTGGCAGAGGAGGATCGAGCTTTTCCTTCGTCATTTGAAGATTCATCAGACTTAGGAATATCAGCAGCTGAAGAACGATTTGAGGCGGATGATGATGATGACGACGATGATGAGGCAGAAGAATGAGATCTTTGTACGTTAGGAGACAAATAACTTGGATCAATCTCAATTGAAGACACGTCATCATCGTCGTCATCATTCTGGTTGTCAGTACTACTACGATGACTAGGGGAGAGTAATAAACTAATAGGTTTATTATCAGCTTCTGTCTCGACAATTTCAGTGAATGCCGATTGACTTGTTTGACTTGTTGGTGAATTAGCTGCTAATCTCTTTAAATACCGTGTCCATTCGTCTTCTTCTTCTTCTTCATCAACTACGATACCAAGTTGGTTATTACTACTTTTTGGTTTTTTTGGCTCTTTGCTGTCGACCTTGAAGCTGACGCGTCTATCTAATTTCGAGTTATCTAGATTTTTATTCTTCGCTATGGTTAAACGTTGATTCGAATTATCAGGACTAGTAACAATCACTGCATCTGATTTTCTTTTGGTCATCCATTCGTTTTCATCCATGGTACCATTCGAATAATCGTCTTCGGATCCTTCTGATTCATCAGTAACAACAGTTCCACAATTACTACAACGATGATTTCCAACACCTCCACAAACTATTACTGCCGGCTTTCCATTATACATGGATAAATTTTTCTTCTCTTTTTCTAATGATTCAACTTTTTTATTCTTTTTGCTGAAGCGATTCCATCGAACACAACAACAAAGAAATGTTAATAGACAGAAACCCGCGATTATTAATACGGTGGGAACGATGAATGGTTTGAATGAGCGTATCGCTATGTTTACCGGATCTGTTTCAGCTGTTGTTGTTGACGTGAACGATGATGATGATGACGATGATGTGGGCAAAGATGTACTTGCTTCTGATATACTTGCTGTTGATGAAATCATTATACTCGGCGTTTTTGTGGGGTACGGTGATGTTTTGCTACTACTGGTTGATGTTGGAAGTGGATATATAATATTTGTTGGTATCGCTGCGGATGCCTCGGAAGAGACATCGGTTGACTCTGAATTGTTTCTAGGTATTGCTCTATGTATTAAGGTCTGGTGATGTATTTTTCTTTTTTTGATTTGTCTTTTCGTGTCATTGAGTTTGCTTGTTAAAGGTGCCATTATACATGTATATAATATTTTCTTCACGAAAAGATTATCGGATTAAATACGAATCTATGATTTTAGAGGTAAATGTATGCTATATGCTATATATATATATATAAAATAAAATAATAAAGTTCGCCTCAAGCGAAGACTCGAGAAAAAGAGGAAATCAAATTATTAAAAATTAATAAAGAATGGAGAAATAATTGTTTTTTGTTCGATTCTATATTATTCTGTCTCTCACAAACTCATATTTTCAAAATATGTAGTTTATGTTGTTGTATTCTCTCTCGTGCGCTTTATTGCATCGAGTTTCGATTTTCGCTGTCTTGATTTTGTGCACCAAGGTACAAAAAAAAGAAGAAAAATGTCAAGGACAAGACGATGATAGGAATGAGAAGTGAATAAAGCGAGAAAATGTGAGAGAAGAGATTAGAATAACAACATTGTTGAAAAATCGATAAACTATCTCAATCAGGGAAAGACATTTACTTTTTTTTTTGATTTTCTTATATCTGTCTGTTCATAACCGAATTCGGACGGGCGAAACACACACGCGCGTTTTTTTTCTGTTTGATATAATGGCGGAGAATAATGGTTGTGTTACGTGTTATTTGCGTACATTATAATATATTCTAATTAAAGAATCGGTTTCTCTATGGTGCCACGAACCTAACACCCTATATTTCTTGTTTTGGAACATTAGGAACAATGATTTATTTCGTTAATGTTAATGATTTCGTTATTATCGGCTCTCTTTTTGTCAGTTAATTGAAATTTCGTATCTACGTATTTCATGATGACTAATATTAAACCAAATAACGAGGAACGTGATGAAACAATTATATTTTCATTCTAAATATTCGCCAATCAAAAACAAGCGATTTCTATTTATGGTATATGAAATTTCATAAAATACTGCTTAAATTTCTAAATCACATGAAGTTCATTGTTCTTATCGTTATTTAAATTTACTGAAAATAGTGACAATTTACGGGCTAACCATGATGGAAGGTCTAATTATATCTAGTGAATTATCTATCAAAAACAAACAAATAAGCAAGAAACATACACATATATACGTACATTTTGTTGATCATACCTTTAATGCAGGCAATCCTACATTTGATACACATACATACCGCATAAAGTCTCTCCTGTAGAAAATTTAAACTTCAAAGCATATTTTATTTAGTGTCAAAAAGTTTTGAAGAAATTGCGCCTTGAATCATGCTTTATTCAGCTTGCAGAAAAATGAACTTGTCTTACTAAAAAAAAAATGGACTAAATTAAGATTTAAATGTTCTACATGGGGATACGGAATCGGCCCAAATTAGACTAAGGGTTAATGCTGGTGATAAGATTGGTGTTGGCCGAAAGATTTTAAATCATTCATAACATATAGATGTGCAATCTACAATTTACATGTGCTGAATACAATATACTGAATACAATATACTGAATACAAATACATAGAATTTTATCGTTCTACATTCATAAATTGACCAATCCGTCTTCTAAACACTCGATTCGCAACACCTCCAATTCCAAAGGCCGGAGCAATTCTCACGATCCTAGCAAAAGTGGACTTTGAATACTGTTGCATAACAAGCTTGGTCCTCCCACCCATCGTGACATCTCGTCTATTATACAAGTCCAATCCAAACAAATGGAGCGGTGTACTAACAAGCTGTGCTAAAGCCGGCGACGCAATTTGAGCAAAATTCATCGCTCGCTCTCGGTCTGAAACCCAACCATTTTCGTATAACCTTGATCCCATTATATCAGGCATATTAAAACTTGCGGCCATTGTTAATGAGTCACGTGCGGCGAAGAATCCGTATGTCGCTATAGGCAATGATCTTGGCGCGATGGCACCAAACATTCGTGTGAATTGTCTGTCTTTATAAATACACGTAGCCATGTTGGCAAAAGAGGCACCAAAGAATTTCGGAATTTGATTGTTTAAGCTATGATGGTGACATAACGTATCGACATTGTTCACCGTTATGTAAGTGCTACTGTAGACCGTATAAACTAATAAAAATTGGCGTGAGCGAATAAATTCGTGTGGTTTCTTTAAGAGTGATAAGAATCCGGCTTTTATTGATGTGACGAGCGGGTTACGACCACTTGCATTTTCTATTACTGATCTAGTTATATTGGAAGATGCATAAAATTAAAATTAATAATCTATTGATAAGTAACAAAACCATTTCATTTTACTCACCTGTCAATAATTGCAATAAACGGCGAAACCAAAAACGCAGCCGAAGTTGCTGCACAAAAATCCACGAAGAGTCGTTTCGCGAGTACTATTAATTTTTGGTCTGTTTTTTCTTTAATAACTATCTCCATTTCTTTTAACTTGTTTGATTATTGTTATGTACGTGAAATTTGATGGAAGAATAGTTCTCTGGTGTAATTTGTCTATTATAGAGGATATAATTATAAAATCTAGAGATTTTATGAGCTGCAAAAATTTTTTACGAGTCAACTCCTTAAATAAAACGCGAAGAACACGAAAAAATTTTAGCGATCGTCTATGTAATAAGATGGTATTGCATAATCAGGCATTTAAAGCTATTTCTCAAGATTATCGTTAATTTAAATATTTCTTTGTTTAACGATCATAAACTGAATTCCTAATCATGATCTTGTTGCAACGTTATTCAGTAATGTATTTATACAGAAGAAAGTCGTTTTGGGCGCAGTGTTTGGAAGATAACGGATGAAACCGGTAACTTGTTTTGTGGCATATTAAATATTAAATTTTATTTTGCAAATCATTTTGCAGATCATTGCAAATCATTTTGTGTTTGAGTTTCACTAACTCTTGACACATTATAATGATAAGGTTGTGACCTCATTCACACACGATTGATAGTGAAGTTTAGAATGCAGGTTTATCAGTGTGCAGTAAAAAACGATCAAAGTTGAGTATTATTAAAAATTCACACGAGGAATAGTTTTGGTTACTAGCGTTACAGGGTTTTTCATTGGCGCCATAAAAGTGTAGATTATCAGATAGTGCACCCACGTAATTATGTAATCTCTTTCTTGACAGTTTTTTCATCACAGTAGCGAATAAACTCTGTATGGAATTAATTTTCAGAAAAAACATCACATGTAATAAGCTTCAGCCTGTGATTTATTTCTTACGTTATCGTTCGCGTTATTTATAATCAAGTTTCTGGCAATTTGATTTTTCGCGTGATGCTGGGGTAGTGGGGTACGTTAATCTTTCTTGCTTTTCAAGTGAAAAAATTTATTTTGTTGACAATGTGAAAATCTATAACATGAAATAAAAATATAAAAAGCATATGTTGGTTGGGAGATTGGGAGTTAATTAATTAATCAAATGATGAGAAAGAATGTAAAAATATATTGGTATCGGTATGGAAAAAAAATGAATTTCTCGAATTGCAAGTTGAATTGACCGCACAAATAAAAAAGTAATGGGAATTTCTTAATCGGGAGTATTATTAAACTTGATGACAGGTTCAAATTCAGATTTCGGTTTGAACTGAATTGAACAATTCGGCCCGGTTCGATTCTTGATTGGCTTGGAACAGAACTAGACCGGATATATATAATCTCGGCGATTCTAAAAAAATCGCTTAATCATTCTTTATAGTACTGAATCAAAAATTTGATTAAACCAAACCGAACCTTATTTCATTCATAAGCATGATGACTCATCATGTTTATAAATGTTACATAGTGATTATCGATATAACGGACACAGATTGAGGTCCAGAACAGTCGAATAATTCATTAGTAAATTGTTGATTATATAGAACGATTTTTCACTAATGAATCGACCCGTTCATTATATCAACTGTTACTATATATCTTGAAGCAATATTCTTAAAACAAAAGAATCATTAATTAAAAATCACCATTTAATTACTATTTGAAAAAGATATATAGAGAACTCCTCTAAGTGCACCTCTCGGGACCATTGAAAAAAAAAGACAAAATGTGCATTTAGGGAAGGTGTGTATTATAAGGGGTGCATTTAGAAAGAGTTCTCTGTAGGTCTGTTAAGGAACACTAAGGTTTGTGAGACTCTAGCGACAACACTGCTCTAGTGTATCAAAAAAATCCATTCGTAAAAATAATTTAATTATTGTCAAGTTATTAATAAATGAAAAAATAATCGTGATGAAAATATAATTACAAACTTAGTATTTTTACAGTTATATTCTTTATAATGGATTTCTTATAATGAAAATTAATTAAAGCTTGATATATATATTAACATTTAAATTATGATTCAAATTATATTTCAAATTATGATTTAATTCATGATTCAAATTATTTTTCAAATTATGATTTTATTTATTAATTTAATTGGTAATTTAATATTTATCATTTAGTTATAAATACAGCATGTATTTTAGTATAAAAAATAATGAATTATTTTTTTAATATTATTTTTTGACTAATTAAATAACATTTATTTATTGTATATATAATTTCTTGTTTTAATTGCAAAGTTATATTATTTGTTTATAATTTTTCAATATTATTATAAAGTTATACTTCTTGTTATATTAATATCTTATTTGTTTATAATTATTATTAAAATTATAATTATATATATTTTTGTAAACAAAGATTTTTAAGCTTATTTTAGTTACTTAATGAAATAAATATGTTATTTATTTTAATTTTAAAATACTTAGTTATTATATTATATTTTTATTTGACTGAAATTATATAGAAAATATATTATATACTTAAAAGTTATAAATAATAATAAAATTAATTATTATATATTTTTACATTTTTATAAATCAATTAAAAATTATTGTTCAATTTAAATTTTGAATTTTTTTATTTATTAACTTTGTTAAATTTTCTAATTGATAATAATTTATTAAAAAATTTTAATACAATATTAATAATTTTTAAAGTTATATTTTCTCAAATAATAAATTAATTATATAAAAACTTTTTTAAATGCATTTCTCTCAAAAAAGACAAAATATATATTTAAGAAAAATATAAACTTTCAAATTAATATCAATATCATGATACAATATTAGAAGAAATAAACAAAATATTCAAATTATTAATTTCTTCTATATCTTTACAGTGACATTGAAAAATTACAACATGTTATCACGAGTCCCAGATAATCTCATAATGTAGATATTCAATCAATATTTATTTCAATAAGTTAATAATTCAATCCAGTTACTTTAGGATTGTGGCATTGTGCGATTTCTTCTATTCTATTAATTTAGAATAAGCAACATTACTATTAATAAATATCTTCTTTATATTTATTTAGTGTGGTGACAATTCTATAACAATATAGTACTGATATTTTATAGCAATCTGATTGAGTATCCAGTAATGTATAAAGTAAGTGTTATAATAAAATTAAATCAATTAATGTACAATTTTATTAAATAATAAACAAAAAGCAGTTTATTAACTAGCTAGATTTTGTATTGATCAATTAATACCTTTTGATTTATCCAAAAGATCCTTTATTTATATAAAATACAATGTGGAATATATTATATATATTAGATAAATATGATATAACAGATAATATTGATATGTCTAAGAACTTTACTATCTTTACAATCTCTGTGATCTATATAGATCACATGACTAAATTTAAGAAATTAAGAAATTAAGAGTAATTTCAAATTATAACAATGTAGCTATAACAAATTTGAAAAATTGCATACTAATCTTTTTAATATGATAGGATATTTTGAAAGTAAACTATATAGATTTTATATATGCTTTAATTTTATTGTTGAATCAAATCAATTTTAGGTTCAAATAAAAAGATGTAATTTATAAATCTGAATGTTTCTAATTGTATTTTTCATAATATTAGTAGCAAATTGATATTAAGTGAAAAGATAAAAAAAAGTTTTAGTAAAATTGTATGAACAAAAAAATAAAATTTATTAAATTGAGACAAATTAGAAAAATATTATTAAGTGCTCAATAATCAATTCCAGTAACAAGTGAAGAAGTGAATTATCAAAAAAATAAAAATCTATTAACAAAATTATAATTATTATTCATTATTTATTATTAATTTTTTAATATCTCTTTTAGATAATTTATAATAATCACATTTTCAAAGCTTATCAAGTCAATCTCATAATGATTTAATAAATATTTTTCAGAAAGTTAGAAATATATTGTCTAAAAATATTATTAATATTAATAAAGAAAAATGATAATTAAAAAAGTCATTACCTAAAACATTATTTATTATATTTTTAGAACTTGTTTTTAATATTTTATAAAAATTTCCAAAAATTAATAAGAAATAAAGTAGAATCAACAACTATTACTAATTTTTGAAAATTCATCAGTATTTTACCAATAATATTATCATTAGATATAATATTATTAACTATAAAAATACAAGTAGCTTTTTATCATAATCATTAACTTATTATAGATTAATTAATTACTGAAATTTCCAAATTATTATCAATATTAATAATAAAATACCAATTATTACTGAAAGTTTTTTAACTAAAAATAAAATTATTAAAATAATTCAAAAATCAAATAATTTTAAAGATAATGAAAGTGATAATAAAATATTACTAATACTAATTATTATATTTAAGCAAGCATTAGATAAATTTCAAGTATTTCTTAATTTTTGTGAACAATAACCTAATAATGATGAAGAAATTAACAAAAATAATTTGATAATATTTTAAAAATATATATCTATTATGAAACAAAAAACTATTAAAAATATGAAACAAAAATTAATTGATAATTTTTTTATATCATCTTTATCTTTATAAATAATTATATTAATTATTAATTATATATGCTTTAATTATATATTTATTAAATATTAATTATATTATATTAATTAAATAATAAATAAATATGATTATTATACAATATTAATATTTATGTTAATAATTTATATAGATTATTTTATATAATAATAAGAAAAATTTAATTTTTTCTATTTTTCTATTTTTCTCAAAAACTAGTGCAAAAATTGGATCTAAAAATAGGACAAATTATATATAAACTTTCTTTTTAATTAGTATTATAAAATCTATTATTTTGATCATTTTTGATTTTACTTATAAAAAATTTGAAATTTTTTATATTTTAATTAGAAAAACTTTTTTAATTTTAAACATCAATTAATAAAAATTATATAATATTTTGTGTTATTAAAAAATATATAAGTTTAATTATATTATTAATTTATTTGTAAAAAATCTAACTTTACATATAAATATTATTTATATTTTAAGTTTTATTTAGAAAATTTTTTTCAAT